AACTGAACTAGAACTGAACTAGAACTGAACTAGAACTGAACTAGAACTGAACTAGAACTGAACTAGAACTGAACTAGAACTGAACTAGAACTGAACTAGAACTGAACTAGAACTGAACTAGAACTGAACTAGAACTGAACTAGAATGAACTAGAACTGAACTAGAACTGAACTAGAACTGAACTAGAACTGAACTAGAACTGAACTAGAACTGAACTAGAACTGAACTAGAACTGAACTAGAACTGAACTAGAACTGAACTAGAACTGAACTAGAATTGAACTAGAACTGAACTAGAACTGAACTAGAACTGAACTAGAAGCTGAACTAGAACTGAACTAGAACTGAACTAGAACTGAACTAGAACTGAACTAGAACTGAACTAGAACTGAACTAGGACTGAACTAGAACTGAACTAGCACTGAACTAGAACTGAACATTTTGAAACCTTTAAATAAAGAAGTCGAATTTATTGTATCCATGTAATGGTTTAGATTCTTCTCTTTTTTAAAAATGAGTACTACTTTTGAAAATATGTAAATAAAGTAAATTTTTAATATTTGTTAATCAGTTCCATATGATAACGCTATAATACACCAATAAAAATTGAAAGTATTTCACTTTTATAAAATGAACTACACCCAAATGCTCTTAATCTACTTAAATAATTATAATGACACCAATGATATTAAGTTCATTGCAAAATGCATTATATAAGCTTTCAATTTCTGTTTAAAACATTTGAAAAAATATTGGATTCATTGAAATTTGATTAAATGCCAACAACTTCTTGAAGAAAAAAAAAACTTAAATATTCAGAAAAGAAAATTCGACAAAAATAAATAAAGAAAAAAAAACTGCATATCATGAATGTTAATTAAAAACTAACAATTCCATTCAAATACAAACAGAAAAAGACAACAATTTGTTTAAAGGAAATTTTTTTTGTCAGTCCACTTGACTACTTATAAAAACGAACGTAATCATCGATAAAACTAATAAAGTAGTTAAAAATTTATTAACATCTATTTAAAACATATGAATAATGAATGAATAACAATCATCAAATTGCAAGATATGATTATGGTAACCGTCAGCGGACCGACAAATATAATAAAACAATTTACTTTGAAAAAAAAATTAACATGTTTTATAATTATGCATAAACACACATACGCTTATATTTACTATATGTAGCTTATTTAAATATAAAAAAGTGAGAGAGACAAAATACGTAAAATTTCACTTTCTTTAAGTTATTTTTTTTATTATTTTTTCAAATTTGTAAATATAAATAACTAACAACCAACGAAAAAACTTATAAGGTGTTATTGACACACTCATACTTTGAAAAATATGAATACATATGTAGATACACTAATACATACATCAACTACTTATTAGTACTGTTGGTTGCATATCTTAAGAAATTTAAGTACATGTATGTTTTTCGTTTCGAACTTTTGTAAATTCAAGGTAAAACAAAAAACATAAAAACTCTAAATATTTCCCTTTAAAATTGCATAAAGAAGTTTTCTATGTATTAGTGTTGCAATAGTTTTTAGAAATATACATACACTCATAGTAATGGGGAAATCGTGTTTGTTTCTTAAGTCTTTTGTTTGATGAGTATATTATTTGGATATTCAAACATATGTATTTAAAAAAATATGTGGTTATGTTAAGAAATAATAAATCTTTGTTTGAGTAATATTCAGAAATATGTCTAATATATGTATGTACAATTGTAGTACTGGATGTAATCTGTGATAAGTCACACATTAAAAATTAGTAGGATATAAAAAGTGGACCTTTATAGAGAGTTGGTTCAGTAATTGAATTTGGAAGATAGATAGATAGATAGATAGATAGATAAGATAGATAGATAGATAGATAGATAGATAGATAGATAGATAGATAGATAGATAGATAGATAGATAGATAGATAGATAGATAGATAGATAGATAGATAGATAGATAGATAGATAGATAGATAGATAGATAGATAGATAGATAGATAGATAGATAGATAGATAGATAGATAGATAGATAGATAGATAGATAGATAGATAGATAGATAGGTAGATAGATAGATAGATAGATAGATAGATAGATAGATAGATAGATAGATAGATAGATAGATAGATAGATAGATAGATAGATAGATAGATAGATAGATAGATAGATAGATAGATAGATATATAGATAGATAGATAGATAGATAGATAGATAGATAGATAGATAGATAGATAGATAGATAGATAGATAGATAGATAGATAGATAGATAGATAGATAGATAGATAGATAGATAGATAGATAGATAGATAGATATATATAGATAGATAGATAGATAGATAGATAGATAGATAGATAGATAGATAGATAGATAGATAGATAGATAGATAGATAGATAGATAGATAGATAGATAGATAGATAGATAGATAGATAGATAGATAGATAGATAGATAGATAGATAGATAGATAGATAGATAGATAGATAGATAGATAGATAGATAGATAGATAGATAGATAGATAGATAGATAGATAGATAGATAGATAGATAGATAAAATTTGATAAGATTATTTTGGTTCTAAAAATTTTTTATTGCGAATTTCGTAAATATATTCAATCCCGTAATGACCATTAAAGTCATTTGCTGAATAGATTCCTATATGTGGGGTATAGGTTCAATTATGAACCGATGCTCATAAAATTTAGTAGAGAGTCTGTGGTTTCTATAATTCTTGTTTTTGTCGAACTTCTAATAAGGCCTTAGAATATACGTACTATATACTTTAGAGAGCCTAACACTAATTATTTGATGTGTTATGAACGGAATGACAAAATCAATATTCTCCCTATCTTTCTTTATACTCATTAGTTTAGTTAACACAGTATTGGAAGATGGCATTAGAGGAAAATATTTATCACGCTCGCTTACAGATAAGTACTTAAATAAGTCATTACAAATACAAAAATAAAAATTGCAGACAGAGAATATGAACCTAGGTCTCTTCCTAACATAACCGCAGCCGATTAAGCTATATCCTTAAGTATGTTTGCTGAAATCAATTTTCTGAAGAGCCCAGATATTTTTGGAATCTAAATTACAATAATTCTATCAATCAAAAGTATGCATTTTTAAACAACGATAACATTCGTATGTATGATGTTTGTAAAACCCAAAAAATATTAATCATACACCATCAATCAGCACAGAATCATTTTCTGAGTCGATTAAATTATGTCCGTCCGTCCATCCGTCTGTGTGTCCAAATGAACCTTCAAGATAATTTGATGAAATCTGGCATATTTTGGTTTAAGGAAAATTTTAATTGAAAAAGTTAAATGGAAAATGGTCCCATATAACAGTACCCCCGAATTGGTATCTTAAGCACATAATTATGTAAAATGTTCTAGTATCTCCAAAAAATTCTCTAAATTTTTGTAGAGATAAAAATAAAGTTCTTTTTGCAAATCGTACTTTTTTGACACTTTTTTCTTTACCCATAGCTCTTTTATTTTAATACAAATGTTCATGTTTCCTAAGGATGTTCAAAGCACCAGATATGAGCTTTTTAATACTTTTGGTACGTTACTTTATTTTCAATATATATGGACAAATAAAATGAGATGTGAACCCCACAATGCAGTGTTTTCTGATTGACTAAGACTTTTATGCAAATAGAGTATTTTGCAAATTGTAAGGCTTTCAAATAATGTTCAAAGCGAAAATGTTCAAATTGATAAATTTTTTATTTTAATGTAGATACTTGTTGTTTTTTGTTTTATTTCTTCAAAATACCATTTTTATTATTGAAATAAGTAAGAATTTATAGTCAGGCATGGCTGACCATATGATATCCTACACCAGTGATTATGTGAAAAATTTTGATTATTTTTTAATAATCAAGTATTTACTTTAATTTTTATCTTAATTTTCTAAAAGGGGTTATATGGAGACAGTAGATTAATAGAGGGATTTACGTCTACATTAGTTATTTTTGTAGAATATCATGCTAATATTAGTGTTTATAAGTGAAATATAAGTCATTTTCTAAAGGTGATTTTGTATGGGGGAAAGGGTCAAATGAGGTCCGATCATTACAAATATCAGCAGTATCATTATATAACTAAGTTTTGCCGATTTTTGAAGTGATACAAGTATGGGAACTATACGAAAAAATGGACCGATTTTAACCGTTTTCAATAGGCTTCGTCCTTGGGTCAAATTTTATCAAATTATCTTGAAAATTGTGACTTGTAGAGTGCGCACAAGACGGACAGACGGAAAGACGGACATAGCTAAATCGACTCAGAAAGTGATTCGAAGTCGATTGGTATACTTTAAGATGGATGTAGGACCAATATTTTTTGGGTGTTAAAAACATCAGCACAAACGCATAATACCCTCCCCACTATAGTGGTGTAGGGTATAAATATAAATTATTTAAATATTATGTATTTACTATTTGTAATCAAAGTAATATTATCGTTAACAAGTTATAACTTTTTATAAAATATGAATAATTTTAAAATACATATTTAGAATCTTATTAAAACTAACTTTTAAAATATGTATATTCAAACAAAAAAAAAAAAAAACAGCCTAATTATTTATTATATAATTTAATGACATATTTAAATTTTTATTGATTATGTAAATTATTGTAAGTGAGTGTGTAACTGTTTATTGGTTGTATAAACACAAAACAAACCCATAGTGTGGGAAAATGAAAATTGATCTAGGCACAGTTTACATTTACATATGTATGTATGTGTATATAAGTATAAATGATCTAAAGACAAGTTCATGCTGTTATCAGAGCGATAAATTTTTAAACAAACAAAACTTAATTTACAAAAACAAATGAAATGAAACTCTTTGGATGAGGAAAAACATTTATAGGAAACAAAAGACTTAAGACACAAACATTATGGTGAAAAATTTAAACAAATTAATGAATAAAGGAAGAAAAATTAAGATTGTTACTTACAATTAATATTTTTGATATTTTAAAACGTTTATCCATATTTATATATTCCATTGTGGTAATAATAATTTTTTTATATTTTATTAAAAGCAGAAAAAATTACACCGGCAAATAATTCAATAAAAACACTTTTAATTGTTGTTGTAGTTGAATTGTTTTATTTTGTAATATTTAATTAAAAAATGTTGTAATTTTGTTAAAATATTACACTTTTTTAAATAAACTCATACACTCATACACATTCACTTAATTACCAAATTAATTTGTTGGCAAATTAAACAAAAAGTTGTCATCATTTATTAGAGAAGCTCTCTGTCTGACAAATTTGTAATGAATTTCTTTTTTTTTTTCTTTAAACGTTATTTTATTTATATTTTTTATTCTTTGAATTTAAGCTAAAAATATAACGTTTTTTATTTATATTTTTTTCGTTTATTTGAGGTGTTTATTAATTTCCACAGCACGTATTTTAACACTGAACTAAAAAAAACACAAAACGTTTTTATTATTTGATACGAAATGATTTTGTTAAACTTTTTTCATTTCGTTTTGTTTCAAACTTTCACAAAAATGATTTAGAAAATTTTAAATATAATTTTTTAAGAAACTGTATATTTTTTAATAATTTACTTAGTTTATAAAAATATTTAATATTTAAAAAATTATGATATAATTTGACAAAATTATTTAATTTTTTTATAATTTTTCTTCTGCGATAGTTGTTGTTGATGTTTCCCAATTGTTATTGTTTGGTTACTTTAGAAAAAGTAAAATTCACGTTCACACGCTTTGCACTCACGATTGCAACTGTTTTGTCTGTCAGGTTTTTTGTGACTTGATAGTCTGTCGTCTATGAATACGATGACGACGACTACGACGAGTTCCAGGCCATAAACAAACACCCAAAACATCCGACAATCATCTCGACTGAAACTATTGAACCAACTAACAACCAGTCATTCATCGTTTTTGGTAGCGTAGTCGTCGTAGTAAACTATGTTTAAAAGTTTTTGTTTTCTTTCTTTAACTTTATTTTTGTATGCGATTTATTTGTGGCCAAACGTTTACGAGAGCGAAGAAAAAAAAAAAAAAAACTTCAAACCAAACACAACTCAGCCCAACTTTTTCTTCTATACATAACTATTTGTTGTTGTTGTTGGTATTGCTGCTGCTGTTGTTGTCGTTGTTGTGTTGTATTGTAAGTTGTTGTTGAATGACCACCAAACACGTATTTTTTTTGTTGCGTTTAGATCATTTTGAATTCATATGAGTGTAAATGACTAAAGTTTGTGGTAATCACAGCAGTGTTGCATGCATGTGGTGTATTTTATGATGTCTGTAAAGTTTTTTCTGTTGTTTTTGTTGCCTTTTTTGCTCTCTTTTAGTGTTGTCAAGAAAATAGCATTATAATACAAAATATAAACATAACAATTAAGGGGAAGGTTCCTCAATGGAAAGTGGTAATGAAAATTTGGAAAATCTGTAGGTTTGGTTGTTACGATCACGATCTTTACACTTTATATATGTATGTTACATAATATATAAAACAATTGTAAAGGGTTCATACTCTACAGTTGGCCAATGTTTTTGCTTCTAGTTCTCGCTTAGTACAGCAATATCCAGGTGCTTCATGCAAAGACTCTTCTACGTTGCCCCTGGGGGTTCCAGTCAAAAACTTGTTATATAATTACGTGAGTGACTTAAGATGCAACATAACCAGGTCCATTTCAAGTTGTTAATGTGATCTGCACAATATCGCCCTGTACGGAATCCAGCTTGTTCCTTGCGTAAAATGTACTCAAGCTGGAGTAGTAAACTTTTCATTACTTTACTGATGGCATTTAATAATGCCATTTGCATTGAATGAGATCATTATCCCCTTTTTCCATTAATTGAAGAAGGAGTTCGTACACTTAATAAATCGTGTTATAGATCGGACAATAGACTCTGATACATATCTTTGATGCAGATTCGCAGTGTCTTCTTGGATTGCGGCGAACTGCCGGGGTGGCTGAAGCGCGGTAATTAGTTCTGGATGCAGTTTTCACCACAGTTCTCCTAGACCGTAAGGGAGCGTTGTGTAGTCATTTGCGTCGCTTGCGTTTTTTCCTCCAGAGTCTCACTGCTTATTTCAGGTGTTGAACACCGGTTCGCAGAGTAGTGGTAGCTATTTCCGTATACACTGTTTTTATATTGGTCCAAGTGATCATGTTATTACTTTGTAACCTATCAGTGCAGTTCACGGTTTCTGCAGTTGTTGGAGGTTAACCTTTGTGCGTGGTGTAGCAACTTGTAGCATGTGGTCGCTGTCGATATCAGTACCGCGCAGTGTTGTCAGAACTTACTCAGAATAAAGTGCAAAATGACGGTCAAAAAAGTGCAAATTCGTTGAAAAAAGTGCTAAATTCATATCAAATTTTTAAAGTCCATTAAGGCATGTTTACCCGTCTGTGCGGCTGGCTGTCCAGGTATAATGTACAGGTCGCAATTTTTCACATAATTCAACGAAAATGCAAAAAACTATTTCAAATTGGTCCATGATTTGACCTTGCCTATATAAATATTCCTTTACAAAATCAATAAGGGGTAATTTAAAAAAAAAATTCGAACAAAAAAGTAGGATTTTGAACATGACCCTCCCCGATTTCGATGAAATTCGGTACACACATTCTTTATGTAAACACGGAATTTAAAGTTCTCCAAAATTTTCAAATTCGCTACGATCCAGATTTTATCGATGTTTAAAGTTCATATTTTTTTTGGATTTTTTTCAACAAGCATTAAATTTTACATCGTATATTTTCTGAACTGTTAATCCGATTTTAATCGTTTTAGTTCCCAATTAAAGCCTATGTCTTGTAGCTTGATAATATTCAAGATATTTAAAAATTTAATGTTTTATTTTATGATGAACACAAAAAAGTTTAAGAATTTGAAACAAAAATTAAATTGTTTATGAACAAAAAATTTACATTTTTGAAATTTGTATGGAATTGATGTAGATTATTTTACTAAAAGTTGATTTACTTGATTCCCCATTGTTTCATTCTGAAATTTTTATATTTTATTGAAAACACTATAAGCAATCTTATGTGAAGGAATAAAGAAAATGTAAGGTACACTTTTTGAGATATCCTTGATTAAAGGACGTTGTCTGATGTCATCATCCTTACGTTAAAACTGAAATATTTTAAATAAAATATTTTCAAACTGCATGACATAGGTTTTAATTAGGAACTAAAACGATAAATATTTTAGAAAATATACGATGTCAACTTTAATGCTTGTTGAAAAAAGAAGAATAAGTATATACATATGTATTTAAAATTTAAATATTATGTTATATTTAGTATTTAAATATTATAAATCCTCTTTCAGAAAATGAATTTATTCTCAATAAATTATTAAATCATTTTAGTGTTATGATGCATTCGAAAAAATTATTTGTTTTAAAACATCCTTCTTAGAGCTCGGTCCGTGATCCAAACCATTAAGATCGTATTCCGAAAATAAAACCGATACACGATATAAAATTTGAGCATAAATCTAATAAATGAGCAAATCTTGTTAAAACGTGTTGTGTTGGTGCGTATGTAATATTTGGCATTCCTGAACTTTTACCTGTTTTTACATGTTCATACATTTTTATTTTATTATATATTTTAAATTTTAATGATTTTTTTTTATTCAAAAAAATGTTTTTGGAAGATATTAGCCGTTTAGCACGTTTAGTCACTACATTGTTAACAAAACAACGCTCTCTTAGCTTATTTTTTCAAATATTTGTTACGATTATTGCATAATAATATTTAAAATATTTCACTTCTTAGTTTAATTTATAGCGTAAATTATAAATTACAATAAACATATACAAAAAGTTTTCGTGAGAATTTCTTATAATTTCACATCTCAAAACTAAATTTTTGCAGTTCTCTAGAGAAATTAAACTTTAAAGTTCTTTAATTATAAAAAGTGCAAAATGGAAGAAAATATTCCAAAAATGCACTTTTAATGCTAAAAATTTCTAGAAACAGACGAAAAAGTGCTAAAAAGCATCTAGCACTTTTTTTTAAAAAATTAGTGCAGCCGACGAAAAAAAAGTGCTAGAATTGCACTTTAAATGCCGTTATGGCAACACTGGTACCGCGTCTAGTTCTTACATCTAATAGAAAGTTCAAGAAAAGTTTGCCCATAAGTAAATGGTCGATTTGATTACCCGCGTGTCCATCTGGTGATTCCCATGTGTATTTGTGGTTATTCCTATGCACAAATTTTGTGCTACCAAAAAAGACGATTTCTAGCAGAGAAATCAACCAAGCTATAGTCGTAGTCATTTCTCGTCTCACCAAGACCTTGGGAGCCCATTACTGAGGATAGACTTTCGTTATTATTACCAAATTTAGCATTGAAATCGACCATGATAAGCTTAATATATCTTTTTGAATTGATCCTTTGCTTCATCATCATCATTGGGTATTATATGGTAAAAGAGAACTTTTTGTCCTTGACAACAGAAAACCGATCCCATTTATACGTTGTGCAGCATTTTCAGAGAAAATAAAATAGTGGCCCTTCTGAAGGTCCATTGTCCCTGATTGTTGGGTGGTGTTTCATAATGTCCAGTGACATAATGTCCATGGACGTTATGACACTAAATTGAGTCATAGTGTCCATGGACGTTATGACAATTTCAAAAGTGTCACAATATCTATGAACGTAATGACATAAAGTCCATATCAAAAAAAATTAATTTTCCGAAGCCGGTATTCAAAATCCCCCAGAATTTAAAACTCCAGCGACCACGTGCAGCTGTCCAGAACACTTTTTAGAGGAATCCTAAACGCAATATACATCGAGTTTGGGAGCAATTCTTTTCAGAATAAGAGTCCATGGACACTATTACACTTTTTGGTGCGTCATAACGTCTATGGATATTATGTCACTGGGCATTATGACACGCCATCGATTGTGGCCAGCGTACTTTACTTAACCCATGGATGTTAAGACTGTAGTTTGACATCTCGTTTTGAACTTGGTTTTGCCTCCTTAATTCTGAGAGAGTTTTACGTTCCATGTTTCAATCAGTTCTTATATAGATTGTTGATGTTTCTGTAATCGAGATTGTTAAAGATGGATGCCTGATTGGGACATCGCATCTGCACCTAGCGCTGGAAATTCCTTTAATATTCATAAAATATACAATATGCTTAAAATCGCGGTTTTCGGGTTTAGAAGTAAACTTTGAATCTACAGTATTTCCTCAAACTGAAGTGTGATCAAATCCACAATAGATATATTGCATTCATATTTAGAATATTTTACTACCCAGCAAAAACTAGGTAATGACATTTAATTGTAATTGATTACCTATCAACATACTTTTCAATGACTATTACATATCGCCTGGATTACATAGAAGTAGTCTAATAAGGTCTTACTAATAATGTGTTATACAAAAACTTTCTAATTCTTGTTAGCGAAGATATAGAAGCTGTGCGCATTTTTTCATGCGATTTACAATGATTACTTTTTTTAATTACTTGTAATCTTTTGTGGTAAGTACTTGCCTCCAATGACATCACCGTGTTAAAATAATGACTTAAAATGCTATTGTGTAAGTAAATGTTAACATTTTAACCCTTTACATGGTAATGAAAGTTTTTACTGGATATCTATAGAATCAAAACTTAGGCCATGTGTAAGGGTTTTAAACTCCGAACTATTTCAAACAATGGCTTCATGAAATAAAAGTTTTCATTTAAAATCTGAATAAATGTACATTTTTTTCTAAACATTTCCATAAGTAAAC